TGGGGGAGCTATAGTTTATTGGGGTCTTAGGAGAGCAGGAACAGAGATTAGATCTAAAGCCAGGAAGAGAGACCAACTTCAAAAGACAGGGTAATATACACTCACACAGGCAGAGAAGTTTTATTGCTAAAGGGGGGTTAGTGCCAAAGTCTCTTGGTAACAAAGAATAGGTGTCTATGTAAGAATTAAGACAGGGCAGGTATTCCTCCCTTTTTAGGGTGTTGTCTACAGCCATTGGAGCAGAGAGGATGATTGGAGGATGGACGGACTGAAGGACCAATCTTGGGAGAATTAAGTTTAAACCACAATTGCTCCCCAACAGTTTTTGGACCAATCAGAAAGCAACATCTTTTTCCTATAAATGTTGTGTACTGCCAGGTTGAAGTTTAGTTGGAGTGAGTGAGCGTGACGCGTAGGCTTCCATTTGTCACCCCACTCCTGAAGGAGAACAGCCCCCAAGCCATAAGACGATGCATCCGCTGACACTTTCGTCTCTTTGTTCAGGTCATACATGGCCAGCACCGGAGGGGAAGACAAAGCATCTTTCAATGTCTTAAATGCCCTGGCCTGATCCACATCCCAAACCCAACAGTTTATCTTTGAAAGGAGATCACGAAGTGGCTTGTCTTTTTCTGCCAACTGGGGGATGAACTTCCCCAGTTTTTGTTGTTCTTCTTGGGCACTACCACCATGCCTGCACAACAGTCGGTAGGCTCTTCCATGCGAGTGATTACTCCCAAGTTTTCCATGCGCTGAAGCTCATCCTTGACCTTCCCCATCAACGGTAAGGGAATGCTCCTTGGGGTTTTCAAAGAGAAGGGCACAGCATCGGGTTTGAGCTTAATACAATAGGGTTGTCGGACCTCACCTAAGCCGCTACATAACTTTGGGTAACTTGACTTCAGGGTGCCCATGTCAATAATGTCCACACAAATCAGTATACCAAGAGCTACAATAGCTGGCAGTCTGAGCAAAGGCATACTTAGGTTTTTTACCACATACACCTTCTCTGTGATTTGCTTATCTCCTTTATTTAGCTGTAGTTTGACAAACCCCATCACTTCCAGTGGAATTCTCCCTGGACCCAGTAGAGATCTCTCTGCTTTATGAAGCACTGGCAACAGTGTGTTTTGAAAAATGTTGGCGAAATTCTTCTGCGAAACAACAGTGACATCCAAGTCTAGGTCTTTTTTCCATTTGCATGCGTTCTGACAGCCGTGTATCGACCAAGCCTACTACAATCCTGTCCCTGATGAGCTCGTCATGTAATGCTCCATAGTTACAATATTCTGCCAACGCATACAGAGCTGTGACAAATGCATCAACTGTCTCGTTTGCTCCTTGTTTGCACATATTAAATCTTGCACGCTCATACACAATGTTTTTTCACTACAAAGAATGACTGAAAGCCTCTCTTACTTTAGCATACTGACGCTGATCAGCTTCACTGAGTTTCAGGCCCCGCTGTACGTCATCTGCTTCATCACCCATACAATTAGTGATGGGCAGATGAAGCTTCATGAAGCAATCAAGCCTTTCATCCAATTGGTTCACTCCAGCGCAAAGCTTCTTGAAGCTTCATTTGCTCTAGGAGGACATCTACTGGATGCAACAATATCAGTTGGCATGAATTTGAAGTGTGTGGCATTTTGTAATCGTTTGCTCCTTGTTTGCACATATTAAATCTTGCACGCTCATACACAATGTTTTTTCACTACAAAGAATGACTGAAAGCCTCTCTTACTTTAGCATACTGACGCTGATCAGCTTCACTGAGTTTCAGGCCCCGCTGTACGTCATCTGCTTCATCACCCATACAATTAGTGATGGGCAGATGAAGCTTCATGAAGCAATCAAGCCTTTCATCCAATTGGTTCACTCCAGCGCAAAGCTTCTTGAAGCTTCATTTGCTCTAGGAGGACATCTACTGGATGCAACAATATCAGTTGGCATGAATTTGAAGTGTGTGGCATTTTGTAAAAAGCCTGTGAATAAAACTGTCAGCAAAATAAAGAAGTATGCAAAACATGTATATTGTAGTGATGGTAGTATACTGTGTATATATATATTGGCAGTATGGAAAATGATGAAAATGGAAATGATTATTTACAGTGAGGCGAGGGTGGTTGGGGTTGGGGTATGGACAATGATTGTGCTTTTGTAACGTTGAGGTATGGCCAGTGATTATGGTTTAGGGGACATATCATTGGTTGTTATTTAAAAACAACAGTTTCTCCACTGTGGCAGGTCTTAGGCGATTTCTTTTTCTCCATCAAACACCCACATTTTGAATGGAGCCTGAGGGGTTTATATCGCTGTCAAAACTCGCGGCAAAATCCGAACCACTTCCTGAATCAGTCACGTGGTACAACCGGGCAGCGAGGCTTCGGACGTCATCATTTTCAGCTCCTCCCCTAAATAACGCTAGCCTCGATACACGCATCGCGGAAACGCTCCCTCCCCTACTCGGCACACGCTTCGAAGCCTCGATACGGAACGTCACATCACTACATACAATAAATCTAATTATTTACTTGATTGTCTTCGGAGCTGATGGCGAGATTACTTGCTTGCCGAAATCTCTCGAATCGCCGTATCCATTTTGTCCACTCGTATGGTTTGGAAAAATCGAAGGGCTCCGGTGGCTGGATGCTAAAAGTAGCGCTGGGTGTGCTAGCCATTCTGCTAACTCCTTCCTCATTCAGCTCGTCCCCACTACCATCCATTTCCTTTCCTTTCGTGCAACCAGCGTCAGTGTCACTGACACCATATCGTATTTTGTAATAATACTTTTTCTACGTGAGTTCTTTGCACACGTATGGCTTTTTATTATTAACCTTGGCTTCCCGCCGTCTTAAACTCTAATCGGTCCTCTAATCGGTCTCCTCCTCATCTCCCCTCTCCACATCGGTTCCTCTTACACTTAACCATCACCAAAGGCTATTTAACACAACACCACAGGACTGCCTGTAGCCTGTGCTGTACTGGGTGGTTACAGATTGGACACATTTAAAGTAGAATTGTTAGAACTGTTGTCATTATAATGCATATCCCATCCCCTCAAGCAACGGATTTACCACTGCACAAGTCAAGCCTCGCCACAACAAACGTACTGCTAATTAATTCGCTTCATTTAAACTTCACATCTTTCAAGTAACCCATACCTCTCTGTCCAACGGCACAACAGCAAACTCTATCAGCAGCTTAACAGTTAACAACAGACCAGGCATGTACTGTAGGCCACTGTCTGGAACAACAAGCATAAACATTAAACACTGACTTACCGAGGCGAACGGTCAGCATCTCTGTTTGGCAAGCCTCCAGATCCTCTTTGGTCCAGTAGGTGCGAACAGTGCCATCAATGAAATCTCCCATTCATTATCCGGGTCGGTGCCGTAGTCCATCCCAGGTCCTGTGTTTAGAGCCCCTGAAGACACCTTCAGTGTCCTGTTTGCCGGCGTTGTGTCCCAAACAGCAGGATGTATTTGTTTCAATGTCCGCCCTGGTAGTTTCTATTTGGCAATGTTGGCTGTGCCACTCATGTGAAGCACCGTGCTAACATTAGCACTAGCCGCACTAGACTTATGGAGTAACTAAACTTTACATTAACCTGAGTAGCAAACCTCACACCTGTCGCTTTGATGTAGGGGCCTTCATGAAAATTCCTGTTAACTTACTTAAAGTTACTCTTGGTGTAGATTTTTTTTAACACTTCACTCGTGTGTCATAGAATCCGCCATGATTGTTTATATCGTTTCCATTCAGGAGGTCGCGAGCTCATAAACTGACACCAAACTGACCAATCAGTGTCAACAAGTTGGTACCAAACGGACCAATCAGTTAATCGCATGGTTAATGGCATTAGTTAATGGAAAGTGATTAGGGCCACTGTAAAAAAATTGATTTGAGTTCTGACTTTAAACTGAGAATTCTGAATTTAAAAAAAAACAGATTTAAAGCCTTTTTTACACTATAGGAATTATGTAAATTACACAACTAGATGGTGTCCCTGTGGGGATTATTTTTGGAAGATTATCTGTGAATAAGGAAACACTGAGTTATTAAATAGGCCTACAGAAACCCGTCAAAACTTTGGACACATTTTCCCATTTAATTCAATTGGAAAACCTTTCACTAGTAGTATACCCACATAACTACATTACATAGAGACATCACACAGAGGCCAAGTTTAATGCAGTACCTAATGCAGCTCTGCAGGGGGCTTCCTTCCCTTACTTTTCTAGATTAAGCAAATAATAATTGAACTTGTATAAAGGATCTAAGCAGAAAGACATGCTTAAGTAACTTGTCTTTTTCAGTCTGGGGTCTTGCTCTTATGTGGAGCAGCCATATACATGTCTGTGCCCTGTGGACCTTAAAAAAATAATTTCACCACTTACTGAATACCTAAACAAGTGGGTCACTACACATGATTTATGATGCTCTTAATTAGGCTATGTATTGTATTTGATAATATACATTTAGTGCTGATAGGCTTACTTATTAATTTTCAGATTCCTTATGAAATTAAATGACAAGAGCTAAAGTTTCAATTTCACCTTCAGCAGTTTTTTTGGGTTAGCTCATGTCACAGTGGAAATTTAAGGAAAATGACCATCCAGATGTGCACACACACACACACTGCTAAGCAATAAGTGTCAAAGAGAAATTCTTAAATATTAACTAATATGTTTTTTTTAACTGCTACAAAGAAAGCTGGTTCAACCTATAGTATTTAAAACTAGAAATCATATGGTTTGCTTTCAAAAATAGTTATGTGGTGCGTGTGAGTAACAGAAACTATTTTCTGCATTTTCGTTGTTTCACTTGTGCCTCTACTGCTGCATGCCTGCACACACACACATGCATACACACACATACAGTACACACACTGTAACCACCAGGAAGGAGAAAAACAAGAAGAAAAGGGGAAAAAACATCTACTTCTCTTTATTTGTTTTATCTTGAGGGTCTCCTGGGTCCTTGGGGCCTTCAGACCATAGTAGGAAGTGATGTAAGTGAAGATGATAACACTGTGGTCATTTTTTCTGTTGTGACACCGTTTTCCTTCCTACCACTTCTTGAGAACCAACCTTCACTGCAATGCCAACCTATAAATAGTCATTTGCAGTCTGATGAATTGTTAGGCTATAAAAGTCCCAGTGTTCCTTGAATAAATCTGTATATACGTATATATTTGAAAACTGAATGAAAATAGCTGAGAAGTGTAATTTGTGATGTAACACTGATCAAATTTGCAAATTTTGTAATACTGCACAGTCATTGTAGAAGGAAGTTTGGGTTACAGATTTGTTGCAACCAGGAGGAAGAAGAAAAAGAAGAAGTTGAGGGGTACTTTTTTTTCTGGTCAATTGCGTGTCTTTGCCCATTGACCACAAAAACTACAGTACCTGCTTTCCACTGAATACCACAAGTATTTGGATTTATTTCACCATGTTTAGGCAACATTGGCTTTTTGATCATTTCAGTACAGTCAGACAATGGACATATACATTTGGGAGTAGTTGATTCACTGTAGATTTTGTGAATTTGGAACTTTCTTACATCACAGAGGATGCAGTTTGACAGAGAGCTGCCAAGTCTTGGATGTCAGAAGAGCATGAGTGTGTGCAGGTTATAGAAATTAGTCATAATTTAATCAGTTTCACTGTTCAACAACAACAGAACAACTTTTGGTTCCAGTTTTTCAAAAGTGACACTGAGCTTTTTCTGGGAAGCTATGGTGGGCATTTTTATTATTTCATAAGATTTTATGTAAGCTACTAATGATTAATTGAAAAAAACTGATTTAGCAATAATGAAAATAATGTTCTGTGTTCAGTTGAGTTCTAAAGCAAATTGTAAGTCTCTGTTGATTTTCAAAGGCAAACAGAAAACAGAATGATAAATGTATTATACATGTACTGTAATTTATGGAGGAAGCAAGGTCATAACAAAGTCTGACACATGACTTCAAGTTAAAAACAGATGGATTAATTTATGCACACATATCTAAAATAAACAGGCCTATACTTGGCGAAGAGGATACCTACCTATCACCATCTGAGTGTGCCAATGCATATTCACAGCAAACTAAAACACAACTATTGCCCACTTTTAGCCACACCCCACACCAGGTGCCTTTAACACACAAAATGTTCGCAACAAAAAATACATTATATCAGTAATAATGTGCAAGTGCAGGTATCCAGAGACCTAAGTCTGCATAGGAGCACGGGAGCCTGTGACAAAGTTTGTAATATACACTCTCTTCAACTGGAGTTGGCCTGCAAGGGAGGCAAAATAGCCATCTTAAGACAACCAGGCAGCATGAGCATGTCAGGACAGCTGCTCATCACTACCTGAACTGTTTAGGGGCTAATCAGGTCCTAGAATGAAGTACAGTAGTGATTGCTGGTTGAAATTAATATATATATATATGCCTGTAATTATTACAGCTGGTTCTTCCACATGCTGCAAAACTCTACAGCTGATAGGTGATCATACCATGGCCTCTGCTCACCCCCGTTTCATTTGGATCATGTGTATTACTGTTATTTAGTTGGAACTGTCACAGGTGCTTGTGTCACAGCAGTGGTCCCCAACCTTTTTATCACTGCGGACCGGTCAACGCTTGACAATTTTTCACCGCGGCCCGTTGTTGCTGACATTACAGATACCGTGTTATTGTTTTCAGAGAGATAAAGTGTGACAGCCAGGCAAAATGTGCTCCTGCCATGTCTCTGCCAATGCATATCCTGTCTGGTATTTCTTTGCCCTCCAAACAAAGCACACTCCAGCCTGCAAACTTCCTCAGCTGATAATGGGTTGATAAGGTTAGTTTGAACTAAAACATGCTGCTCATGTTTTCAAGCTTCACATAATCAGGCCCATATTATACAACGTAGACAAAAACATGCACACACCTTGGTGATCTTACTGTTTCCCTTCCTGTCACCTCATCATTTCATCCTTGTCTGTGAATGTACTTGTTTTTCCTCAGTTTAACACGGCTGTGTATTTTAACTTGTAACAGAACAATGTTGGAGCCGAATCGCTCATTGTTTCTGCCAGGAGGGTCTGCTGGAGGTGGATCAGCCAAAATAACAGTTCAGGAACATTTTGGACTAAATAAACAGGGAACAAAGAAATAACAGGGATAATATTTTGGGAAGAAGGAAGAAAACAGAAGCAAAACATAGGAAGGAGTGCATCAAGGAACATTTGATTTATCATTATGTTATTGCTTGAAGCTGGTCATGTTCAAACATACACCTGAATTTGTTTTAGAGTTTTGAAAGTATGCATAATAGTTAAAATTTTGCATTCAGCTGGAAAACAAATATGAGTCTTTGTATTTGTGTGTTTGTGTGAATTTGTTGGTCACAGCTGAGGCATGGAATAAATACCGCTGAAATTCTTTAACATTTATTGTATATTTAAATTTTAATAAAGAAAAAAAAGAAAAATAAAACATTAATACAAAATTTTCCAATGTTATACAACAACCAGTTAAACTGTATACATCCTTCTTAGTCTTAAATATTTATACAAGCTTATATTCAAAAGATTTGTTTCATATGTAGAGGAAGCTTAACAACAAATACTGAGTAGCTCAGCTGTGTTTATCTTAAAACTGACACTTTAAATTGGGTTTTTCCCTGCTAACTTATTATATACATGTTACTTTAAACATATTGATTCACTGGATGAGTCCAATGAGTAGCTCAGCTGTGTTTATCTTAAAACTGACACTTTAAATTGGGTTTTTCCCTGCTAACTTATTATATACATGTTACTTTAAACATATTGATTCACTGGATGAGTCCAAAATAATCAGTTTTGGATAGCATTTTTTCTGAACAAAGTACAGTTTACATATACTTATATATAAGAAGTGCTCTATATAACATTTCTCTTCACTTGTCAAGCATCACAGTGAGACCAAGATGCATTACACCCTCACTGCTACTAAGATGCTGCATGTTATTTGTCCACTGGTGTCACAGCCCCTGCTGTGTGTCACAGCCCAGGACCTCCAGACGCAGGGCGATGTCGTTGGTCCAACCCCGGGGGTGGATACGGAGGTAGCGGCCGAACAAAGGAGGATCAAAATCTGTGACAGCTTCTTCGTCTGGGTCGTTGTTACCTGTGAAGATCTGAGGAAGGTAAGCGGAGGAATGAAACAAAGAAACAGGGAGAAATATTTAGTAGATGAATAAATGTAATAAACTAACACTCGAGGCTACAATTTGAAGATAAGATACATCAAACAAATCCATATATGATGACCTATGTGTTATAGTCAGTTGGATTTTGGAAAGTATAATAGCACAAACTTTACTGCCCAGAAGTTTTATTATTAGTTTCAGTAATTCACACAAGCATTTATTACACTGTCTGTCACTTAGACAAGATCCTTTTGGTAGGTTGTCACCTCCACAGTACAAAGTGAGTCCTCCATAGTAAGGGAAACTGTGAGATATACATACTTGTGCATATCTGATAAACCTGGATTATATTAGCTGAGATCATGTCAACACTGAGGGTGACCTGATTTTATTGAAAAACTAGGATAGATACACTTGGCATACCTTCTCTCTTCGGGATCTCTCCTCTAACACGCTGCTCCAGGACTGTCCATCATGACTGATGGTAACGGAGAACTCTGTCACCATCATCGGGGTAAACAGATATTGTGCTCCTTGAGTTACGACTCCTGTGATGCGTTTGATTTTTCCCAAGTCAACCTGCAGCCACTCATGAGGATTGTTGTTCTGGGGTGACAAGTACAGAGGAAATGTTTTTAGATCTCAGAAAGCAAGCTATTTTCATTTATGTCCCAATACAGAGCAAAACACACAAATAAAAAAGAAAACTAGACCTGCAAACAGGTATAGCAAGGTCCAAGCACCCAACACAACTCGGGGAAGCCAGGTGGAGAAAACTATCCCTGAATTAGGCTAAAACTGTTGGTTTAATACATATTTGTTTGTATGCCTGCACTGCAATAGATTTAAATCTAAAAGGTCAAAATGAAATATATATACTGTCTTTTCACTGTTTTATTATTCAAACTCCTGAAACAACCTCAGCATCTCCATATTTAGTTTCCACATTAGAACTACATGATATAATGTGCAGGTGAACACACGACTATCAAACAATACGACTGGAAATAAAAGAACTTGTGCCATTAAATAAAATGAAAGACATACCAGCTTCTAAATGAAGTAGAAGCAGGCCAAGTCACAAAACAACAGATGCAGAGTTTGGCAAAGGGAACATCACTTCCTCTCCCACATCAATTTAACATGACCAGGAAATGTGCATGCATAGTTTCTATAGTTTTCCACTGACATGTTGCACATGGCAAAACCAGATGAACTGGTATGTGGAGATTTTTTCCATTTAAATTTTTGTATCCACCATTCATAAAAAAAACATAAGGAAGCTCAAGGAAAGAGTTGCTCTGTTACAGGAAAAATTCAAGCAAACAAAAATGATACCACCACTTTCATGATCTAAAATTCAAAAGCCTATTTAAGAATCAGATGCCTCACATGTTGATACATAAGGAAAAGTAAGTCACCGTGGTCCCATTAGATTCTACCTTCTGGAATACATTTGCAAGATGTGCTTTCTTCTTGTTTAGGCTAATGCGAACAACAAATAAATGCTCCTAAACCTCTGATGTTAGCAATATAAAACCATTTGTTTAGGTCATTAAAGCACATTAACAACACTATTCGAGATAATTGTTGGCCCAAAGTGTTTGACCCCGTTCTTGAATCATAAGTGTGTGACAGTTCACACCTCTACAGTTCAGTGCTGCAAAGTGCAACTATAGGAGAGGAGGACCTACAGGGCAAAACAATAACAGGACAGAGAGGCATAGGAGAATACAAACACACACACAAAGATGTGGGTGGTGCATGCAGCACAAACACTTGAATTTAAACAAACTCAAACCAGGCACTTTGTGGTATTGTGGTATGTACCTTCATCATTTGGTTATCAGGACAATGTCAACTAAATTCTAATTACTTAACCAGACAGTAGCTTGCTAGCTGTTTAAATAATTGTAGCACTAGGAAAATACATGTTCAGTTTTTCATTAGTAATAACTACCTGGAGGCAGAATGTCTGCAAACAGAGGCACCATGATCCATTACTTCATTCAGTGCACTGATTGTTACAGTACAGGATGTCAGTGTGGACATCCTGGGTCAAACTACTGACCACTGTTTTACTCAGTACAAGTCATGCTATGATCACTCTGTCTGTTGGGAACCAGCACAAGAAAAGTAAAATGTTATTAAGTTATCTGTTTTACAAGAATATAAATGTAGTTTTACTTGTGTGATATATTAGAATTGCATGTTCTGTATACATCTATTTGTGAATGAGTATGTGTGTATATTAACCTTGGGCCTCCAGGCATTGATGCTGCCTCCTTGATGGAGGCGTGCGAGTTCGGGGCTCCAGCTGTGCAGCAGGGATGAATAAAATGAGGAGGCACTAAAGCTGCTGTCAGGAATCAGCCTCCGGAGCCCAAGAGGGAGTGAGCAACCTGGTCACACACAAACACACACATACACAGGGTCATTCTCAGCATTTCTACACAATAAAGTTAACTGCAATAAATTCTGTTGGTGTTGGTACCACTCACTGTTGAGATCGCAGCCCAGCAGCTCCAGTCGGAGAGCAGGGTTTCGCACAAAGCTCACCGGATGAATCCTGACGTAGCGAGCCACAAATGGTGGCGAGAAGTAGTTTTTTTTTACTCTGGAGCTGTCCATGTTGCCACCAAACATCTAAAACAGAAACAAACACTTTAGACCAAACTTGGATCATGCTGATAGTTAAGAACAAGTTAGTTCATTAGCCCTATGAAATAACTGCCAAGCCTTCTCCAGATCAATCCAAAACACGCATTTAGGCAGATTTTCAACACTGAAGAGAGAGACTGGTTCCCTTCTTTTGCAGTAACATGAATGTAACTATCATTTTATGGTCATGCAATGCAGTGTTACATACTGGAGGGTTCATCTTCCTGAGACAACAAATTGGAAACATGTGAAATATGTGTTACATATCCTATATCTAGAAACCCAGTAAAACTATCCCAGTGGTCACATGGTCTGTTTATTTGTTGATCTGGGAACTGCATATTCCATGACTGCTTGTATTGCAGGTTCTGTTTCTGCAGTTCTGAAGGACACATTTCCTGAAGAATCAACATGTCATTGCTAATAAATGGTAACCTTAATCCTACCTGTGAGATACTGTATATACATTATGTGAATACCACAGTAGGAGACATACCATGTCTGACTCGGTGCTGTTTCCTCTGTAAGTGCTCCAAGAATCCTGGTCCAGACTGTAGGAGATGTTGAAGGATATGACGTAGTTGTCCTTCAGCCATGAGCTGGCTCCCTGTGTCTGCACACCATGCAGCAGGGTGGGCCTCTGGAGGTCAACCTAATAACGCACATGTCATATGAACACTACATTTACATTTGCATTTGACTGAATTCAAGTCTTGGATAAAACATACTGGACACCATCTACTGCAGCAGATGCAGTGTAAATGCTGTGCAGAGGATAGCACGAGAAAGGCTGTATCTAACCTGTATCCATGACTTCTCGTTTCTGCCCATCCAAGCGTTGATTGAACCCGACTGATCCAGCCTGGCCAGCCTGGGCTCCCAGTTACCTGGAAACATGTTACGATCACAGTTAAGATCCAGATCAGATCAGATTGCATAAACCTGCCTAAAATGGAAATGCAGCCACAACACCAGTTTATTTTCATTTTTAATGTACTAGGTAAAGACTTAACCTTTCTGCAGATATTAACACGTACTGAGGAAATGCTGTCTTACCTATGTGATCTGAGGCTGTGATCTGAGAATCCTGAATCCTTCCTGATTTCATGCCCAGCGGCAAGACACATCCTATATGTCATTACAAGAAAATATAGCTGAATAATGCATGTCAAATAGTAAGGTGAATAATTATCATTCAAAATGCACTTAATACATCTGAAGAGTACAACACTATCTGTTTTAGGATGTTTCTGGAAAGAATGACCTGCAACTGTACAGGTTTACCTCTGATATTTGGTCTAGGAATGTGGGGAAAATACCCATAAATTAGAAAATTAGAAAATAAAAACAGTTTACACAATTCATATGATGAAACTCTTCAAAATGCAGCTGCAGTGGTGTTTATCACGTTCCTAGTGTTGCAAAATCTTGATAATTTTTCCTAAACAATCCAAAGGTCCATGAGGCTGTTAGCCTTGAAACACACAAAAAAACAAAGTAATAAACTGACAAAAAAAAGAAAATATTATCTTTGTGTATTGCCAGAGAAATGGGTATGTTGTAATTAAGTCAAAGAGTTTATGTTCTGACTGTTTCAGAACATCTCAGACTCAGCATGTCATGCTCCGTTCTATACTGTAGAAAAAGCTCAAGGACTTTGTGTATCTTTTGTCAATTGTGGTGCTGGAAAAGCTTCAGATTTTGACCTATTGCTTGTCCTGAAAAACAAATGAAAGGACCACCCAAATCATTAGGATTCTGGAGACCATGAAATCAGTCCTTTCAGTTGCTAGTGAAATATTTCACTCTGGAGCAAAGTGTTGGAAACAGTCAGAACACACTGACATTCCTATGGTCATTAGTATGGCTAAACAGACCCAACTACACTAAACCCACTACTTTGATGATCTGTTATATTACAGCTCCATTTACCTTACAAACAACATTTTTCAAGGACAAGTGACATGTATACGTACGTGGATTATACACCAGTAGTTTAGCCCGCATGCCAGCCAGCTGGTAGTCTCCTATGGTGCACTCCACCAGCCATGTGCCAACTGTGGGGGGTCTCATTTCCACTGTGCCAAACACACCTAGTGACATAACACAATGCATGAAACAAGAGTCAAGAACAATGTTGAGACACAATAAGATGGAAGCTTGATTACTTTCTATGGTGATTACTTTCTATGGATTTCTTCAGTCTGTCAAAGGCCTGCCAGGATTCACTATATTAGCCCAAGAAGCTGCTCAAACAGTTGAGCTATCTCACATGGCTTTTGTCTAGTGTGACTTGAGTCACAATGCCATTAAATGAAGAGTGAGGTTCACATAAACATTATTGTCTTAACATATTATTTCTGTGGAATACAATCAGGCTAAATCTGGCCACTGACTAAATGCTATATAGTCCAAAACACGTTTTAGAAGAGGAACCAGGCAGACTAGAGTAGTAATGTACTCTACAGTGAAAACATGAGAAAGTGGATGATACTGATATTGGCTAAAACTGAATTCTGCATTGTGAGCAAATGCAGGGGTACACATCTATCTGTCTTTTTGTGTATGTATATGTTTGTGTGTGACTGATGTATGTAGTGTGGTATAAATGTACATAAAAAAATACAAATGAAAAACTGTGTGTATGTGTGTATTTACCAGGGAAGAGGCTGTAGACTCCCATACGGTGTTCCTGTTTAACGTGAACAGTGAAAGGCAAACCATGGAAGTGCACAGCGTGGTACTCTTCATTGTTTCCTACGTTCAGTAGGTGCCACCTGACTAGCTGGTTCTGGGCGACCATCAGACCAGGAAGTGTCTCTGCCACATAACCATTTATTGCTAAGGGAAAACACAGGCATTATTTCAGAGAAAAACTATGGCATAAAAAATAAATCACAACAAAAGTTTAATACTGTAGTAGGCTAATTACAGCATTAGACCAACAATTGTTCCAACTCTCTCCACCTGCAAATTTATTGCTGATGTGGTACCAGGGGTCCTCAGTGTTGACCTGACAGGGTGGAACACAGTGCTGCAGCAGATTCTCCTCCAGGTACCAGCTTTTAGTTTCATCAAAGGTGTGGAAGAGCAGGGAAAAATCCTGGATGTCTGGCTGCCTGTTTTGATGAATCTGGAGGGTACCAGGCTTACAAATCACCAGAGGACCGATCAGCCCTGAGTGAAGGTCCTTCTCCTGAAACAGTTAAAACCATTTACAGACAAGTCAAGGATTTGTTTGCAATATTAATTATTAAATTATCAAAAGTTAAACTTGTAATTGAAAATGAGAAATATTTTAGTGAATGCCATTTTATGTCCTTGCAAGAAAAATTTTAGAATTTTAAATTGTATTTAAAAATTCTCTACATATTTAGTTACAATTATAAGATATAAATAAACCAAAATTATAAAGACATTAAATGAAAACAAAACAAAGCACAAACTAAAACAATCACTTATAATTGTAATAATCCAATTGAAGATTCAAAGCATGGATATTCATGAAGCATGTGAAGACCTACACAGACCTTGTCTACAGTAGAGTAGTAAGCCCCAGTCTTGCAGTCAACTTCTGGTTCGGTTGGTCCTTGCCTCTTTGTTGTTTTCCAGTTATAGGTCTTCACCTCCCCAGGAGCCACAGGCTCTCCTGGGACCCCAGGTGGAGTGGCATTGTTTTGGACTACGTTGTCATAGACTCCTTGAAGATGAAAAGAGTAAGGCCTGGATGCCTTGTTCTTAAAGACCACCTCGAATATGACAGAGCGAAAAAGATACAATAGATCACCAATCTATCATACACCAATAATTAATAAAAAGTTTTGAATTTTTGAACTAAACAAGTGACAATTTTGAACATAAAGCGGCATAGTCTAATAGTCTAGTTATCTTTGATTAAAAAAGGTTTTTCACTGAAGATAACCAAAGTTCAAGTAGCTACTGAGACTACAGAAAATACATTTTATTTATTTATTCTTTTATTTTGCATAGATACTCACAGTGATGAGCTCGTTAACCTCAGCTCTGATTAAAGGTCCCATGATTCCCAGGTGTTCTTGAAGCTCCCCTCTGCCTATCGGATCCTGGAAGTCTTCACCCGTGTAGGCTCGAAACACCACCTTCTTATACTCTGGCAGGAACTTCCTCATCCCTCGACGCATCTCTCTGAAGGGAGGAGCTGAGTCAGTATTTGAACATCTTAGTACATTAGTGCAGGAGAAGAGAAAATGCATAAAGGAAGAGTTCAGCCTTATGGATTCATTTTCTGGCCATGTGTTAGATGGATAGTATGTTAGTTCATCTTACTACAAAACAAAAAAATTGTCATTTTTATGTTTCTGTTTATGTACAAATGAGATGTAACCTGTTAATTAGTGAACTTTAGCGGTGCTGGTAGGTGTGTTTCACAGTTTGAACAGTGCCAGGCTAGCTGTATCCATCTACCTCCAGTCTTTTTACTAAGCTAAACGAATCATCTCCTGGCTCTATCTTCATACTGTCTTGAGTGTACAGACACTAGAGTGGTATCAACCTTATCATCTCTTCTTGACAAACAAACGTAGTTATCAAAATGTCAAACTACATAAACCAACTTCTTTTAAAGTCCTGCATGCAAACCAAATGAAACCGTACATGGGACTGATGAACTGCCGTGGTTTTTTGATACCATAGTCCCAAGTGATCTCCTCTGCGGCGATGTAGTAACTGGGATGTCTGATTTTTCCAGAGCGTGGGTTCACATAATTTGTGTCAAATACATCTGATGCGTTGTTCACCTGTAATGAAATGTTTGCATTACTGTAAGTGAAGGCGAGTGTTTTGTGGGACTTATATGTATTTGATCAACGTACATAACACACACATACAGTACAATAGTACCTCTTGGGTGTAGTCATCATACTCCACAGACAGACCAATCCTTGTTGCGTTGTTATAATTGTATTCCAGCAAATCTGCTGTAAGTTGCTCTGGTTCAGCCTGAATGTGGTTTTGTGGTAAGTTATGACTCATGCTTGGTTCTACAGTTGGATTTCTGCTCAGTAAGATCTCATTGCTGCCTTCCAGCTCCTCCTCCATCCCATTCTTCTCACTTGGTACTTCACTCCTTTCCTCAGACTTTATTGCTGCACCAGTGTCAGTTCTGATTTCCGCAGTCTCTCCTGCATTCTCTGTTCCATTTCCTCCATCTTTTGAGGCTCCAGAGCTGATGTCTGTCCAGTTTCCCCCTGCCTGTCTTCTCTGTCTGACACCTCTCTTTTCCCTGTGCTCAATCTTATTCTGAGCCATGGTCCAATTGCTGCCTCTGTCTAGTTCCTCTAAGATATCCTTTGGGATGTCTCCCTCTGACACCATGCTGGGCTTCCTTCCTCCTAGTGATGTTGACTGTTCTTCAACTGGTCCACTTTTATCATTAGTGACATTGTGACCAGAAATGTTTACTGATTGAGTACTGGTAACTAACGCTGTGCGATTTTGAGGTCCACTTCCCCTTGGCTGTAGATGTATCTGATCAGTATAGCATATATTTTCCACAAACCGATTTTTGTCAACAAGGTCTCCACTGCCGCAGGAAATAACGCTGTAACGGATACTCATTCCCCGGCTCTTAAGGCTGCTATCAAAGGCACTTATCTCCCACTCACCTGAGAGAAGAAAAGGTTGAGTTAATATGACCTGAGTGTGTGCACTGGCAGAGCATGACATGCATAGAAATACACCCATTGTTTTTCTTGTGCCTGGGGAAAAGAGCAGTAGTATACCTAGATGCCTTGATACATCTCATGGGAAATAAGATAGTGGCCCTAATATGCAATGCACAAAGACCGCAATAAATAAATCAATAAATCAATAAATAAATGAATAAATAAATAAAATCATATTTATGTAGCTCTCCATAGACAGGTACTATATTGTACCTTGACTATCTGGTGTGTGCTGCATTTAAGTCTCCAAACAAGTCAAACCGCCCACTGGGGAACCACTGGTAAAAACACAAGAAGTTTTCTTTTCCTTGCTTTTGCTGGTGCATTGTTGCATTGTCTGATGCGTTGCCACCACTTGTAGATTCATGAAATAGTGTGAAAACCTCAGGAATGTGTAGTGTGTCACTGGTGCTACTAGTGGTCCAGAACTACACTGGCTTTCTTTAATTTGTCACAGCTTTTATTGTACTGTGTAGCTGTGTCAGGGAATCATGGGGAAATGTTAGTCCCACACTGAGATTAAATCAGTCCAGAATTACCTCAAGTTTGGCTTCACCTATCAACAAAATCTAACTAATTTGAGTTTTTGTTCTTTTCCAGCACCTAAAATCTCTTTGTTGCTTAGACAGGTCAGATTTTGAATGTGTCTGAAATTTACTTGGCTAAAACTTACCCAGCAGTTCAGTCTCCATGGGAACTGACATGCCAGTCATGGGGAAGAGTGTGAGGACGGATTGGTAAAGATGCTGGTACTGAAAGAGGTTTCCCGTGAAGTAGACAGAGAGGAAGTCAGTCTGGGTGCCCACATTAACCACATGCCAGAAAGTGACATCATTTTTACACATCACAAGCTGGTGCCTCCTGAACATGATCCCGTTTACACCTGAAAGAGGAAGGAAACTTAAATTCTTTCATAATTAACTGTGTTCAGCGGGGGTGATTATTCCAGTAAGAACCTTTCAGAAGATGAAAATAAACAAATGTGTCAAAAAAGTGAACTCACTGTAAATGACATTGGAATTGTAGAATTCAGGGTCTGTGATGTTAAATGGCTTTTGGCTGGACTTCTGCATGTTATCGTTGAAGTACCAACTCTTGTTCTCATCAAAAACAGCAAACATCAGGCTCCATTGTCTATCTGGTCCCAGCTGTATGCACCAATAGATTTATTAAAGACACAATATTACATTAGTGCAGGGAACATAGCATCTTATATCTTCCAACAATTTGACTAGATATTTCTTTTTGCTGTGTGTGGAGCATCATAAATGGTTCTTCTCACCAGGTTTCCAAAGATGTCCATGGCATCATACTTGCAAATGAGCAGGGTGCCCACCAGCCCCGATGCCAAATCCCTCTCTGGTGAGATGGTGCTCTGATACAGCTGGGTCAGACACTGTGGGTCTCCCTCCAAGGGTCCGTCATCTGTTGTTAGCCTCCAACCATAGACGAACGTCCCGTTTGGAGGAACTCCCATGAAGCGCAAGTCCTTCTCTGCATCTGTTTAGTTAGATGAGATTAGATCAAATTGTGACATTATACTGTACAAACTTTCACTACTGGCAAGGAGACAAAATAAAAGACAAGTGACTATAACAGCAAAAGAGCTATTTAATGCAATTTTATGATCTTAATTTAGCTTTGTGGGTTACTTTTAAAATATTATGCAATGTTTTCATAGTTTAGTGTCTTTTGTGAAAGGATTTCCTAGAATTTACAGCTAAAAGCATTATAGTAGATATGACACACAATTTTAAAGACAAGGTGTGTACAATTTTATGTGATTATAGTGCGTTTAAAATTACCTCTAGTTGTAGGGGACAAATTCTGAAGAAAGCTGTAAAATTTGGAAGACACTAGTTTTGTCTGTTGGTTTATATCCATGTATATACTTACCATTTGTGCTTCTCTGCAGCAGCGAGATCTTTGTAAGGCCATTGGGGTAGATATTGAACAGACGGCTGGCCAGGTTTCTGAAAGTGATCTGGAGACACAAGTCAAACCAATGGGAAATCAAGAGAAAGCTATGTGCCTTCACAAGTACTACAGTACATAGGTTTGATTTTGTGCAACTGTCATAATTTCTTTTGTTTTAGCTGAAATCTTCTCATTCACGACAGGATGCGTCTCATATATTATGACCTCAAAAACTTGATTCACTCACATGGATCTCATCATTGACTTGTCCTTTCAGAAGCGGACCCGCCAGTGTCTTGCAAGTGTTTTTCCTCTGAGTGAAAGATCCGTCTGTGTATTCCACATACACCACCTTTTTATACTTGTAATCCAGGTGATGAGGAGCTGCAGGAAAATACCTAGACCGCAACTCACTGATGTGGCAAAGAGGAAAAGACTGTCAACTTATGTCACATCAGTTCAGTATCTTATTTCCTGTCATTCTTGGTTGTCCTCCTCAAGATTTCCTACCTGTCTGTGGGTTTAAGGTGAGGAGCGTAGTCCCAGGTGACCTCCTCAGCAGCGATGTAATGCCGCCAAGATTTAGACTCTCCTCTGCTGGCTCTCGCTTGCAGTGGATTCTTGGGTTGAAAGTTTATGGTGTTGAAGGAATCCTCAAAGTCTTCATCACTGTACTCTTCACTGTAGTCCCTGTAATCCTTGTGTTTGACTTTACGCAGGTCAGGTCCCGGCACAATGATAGGGTCAGGACATTTCTCCACCGTAAACAACGCGCTCATACCATCTGGGTAGGGCAGTTGTGCACAGTAACAGTAACAGTTATGACTCAAACAGAAGAAATTGAATAGATTTTTATCAGGTAACAGACCCTTACCATTGCGGTGAGCTGGTATCTGACAACTGATAAGGAAGCGGCCTAGAGTAGTGGGTCTCATTTCTGCAGTGATGAAGGTCATAGGGGTCACCTCCATAGTTACTTTACGATGAGAAAGCACCTGAAGAAAAAAAAACCCACAAACAAAAAAACAAACAAATAAACAAAAAACCCATAAAAAACATTTTAATAGATTTTAGCCAAAGTTAAAACTAGTAAACCAAAAATTATAAATGGGCATTAATTATTATTTTTTCTTTATTTCTATACTGGCTAGTTGTGAAACAAAAATTAAACCACAGGGAAAAAGAGCCGTCAAAGCACATGAGATTAAAAAAATATATAATCTTTAGATGTATAGTTTTGATTGTACAGTATATAATCACCTACCACTGCATTGAAATTACACATTAATGTTAGTTTCATTATTCAGATTTACAAGATTAAGCTTTTAAATTTTTATTTTGGAAATTAAGGATTTAAAGAAGTTTAAACTGGACTTGAATGTGAAGACCTGAATTACCTGCAGAGTGTGAGCCTGAAACTGAATGGAGTGGATTTCAGGAGCTGTGCCCATCCCAATCATATGCCAAAACACATGACTGCCACCTTGGCACATTTTCAAGCCTACACATACACACAAACAAAGAAAGTGAGAGAGAATAAGGCCAAAATCTTTTGCAGACTACTAATAGAGCAGCCACCACTGATACAGCGAGCACAGTTAGCAACAATTAACATGGCAACATGACTGTCTGCAGACAGGCTGGTTCATTACCGGGCAATGTGGAGTTGACATATCCATTGATGGTGTGGTATTCCTTCCTGCCACGGCTCCTCGTGTACTTCTCTCTGCTCATCCTCTCTCCTACCTGTCCATACCAGCTCTTGGTCTCATCAAACACTGCAAACAGCAGGACAAACGCTGGTCTTCTCCTCTGGCCTTCCTCTGTGAAAGCACCTGGAGGAACGCACACACATAATACAGATATAACACATAATAAAAGGTCTATGAGCAAGATGTGAGCTACATGCGCAGTGCCATTGTGCAGCATGAACACCTTGTACTTCTGTATCTATCATAGTTCTGTTAAATGCTTTCTTCTACCCAGCATCCGTGGTATCCTAAGGATCTTTCCCAAACTTTTGTTGAAAATCAGAGCCACTCTGGGTTCAGTAATTATCTAATTTGTTTGCTACCTCAGTTTTTCAGATTTTAATTTAGGTAACCTGCAAGTTTGAATTCACCCATTTCCACATCATCCATAATGTTGGCCAACTTATATATTAACTTCTGAAAATTTCCCACATTCCACAGACCCATCTTCTAAATCAAGCTTTCTGATAAAATGAGCATTTTTTCAAACAACCAAGTTGAAATAATTTTATTTTAAGAGTTGGGAAAGCTATCTCCAGAACCAAAGAGGAGATTATACAATAGTTTTCATAGTAGTGGTGAATAAGCTGAACTTAACAGACCAAAACAGATCCAAAATCCCCTTTGTCCCTTGAAACACTGACTTGATTTGCAGATGAGAAGGGCACCGATGAGTCCGGAGTTCACATCTCTGACTGTGTCCACTTGGGATGAGTAGGAGTAGGTGAGGCACTCAGGGTCGCTGGTGGTGGGACCGTCTTTAGGGTGGATGTCCCACACGTACTTATAGTACCCTCCAGGAGAGACAGCATCATCATCCTTCTCCTGACCCACTGTGGAGTCATCATAGCCAGCTCCTGGAAACAGACACTGCATGACTCTGTGACTCATTTAACAGCAAAGGTGAGTCAAAGAATAAATGATGGATTTTGGTCTAATCTTCTTTGGGAGACAGAAGTACAATAATATAATTTTGAAAAATCCTCCTGTATTTACTTTTTTCGTCCTATTTTTACCCAGTTAAAGCCTCATTGATATTAATATCTCTTTTTTCAAGAGTGACCTGGCCAGTGAATTTACAGAAGTAAATAAATGCTTAAACCAATAAATCAGCTAGTGGAGAGGTCACTTGGGGGAAAAGTGTGTAACTTTCATTTAGAAAACTGTATGAGGACACACACACACACACACACACACACACACACACAAAGCTTTTCCTCAATTCCACACATTGATGCAATTGGATGTGCTAAATGATGGCTCATTGTTCAATATGACACCGGCAGCTTTGCAGATTATGATAAACACCTTTACAAAAATCTACTGTGGGTCAGGAAGACATGAGCCCTTTACAGGAACTGGCTGCATTGGGACATGTGCCAGTGCTTTCCGTTGAGGGTATTAATCCTGAAAAGCTTCCCACATCAGGGATATTCGGTCACCTCTGCAGCTAGGGAGCCCACTGTACAGAGGCACCTAAAATATTACATTAGACTTTTCTGTATTTTCTGTACAGAATTCATGCTCTGACTGGTTGGATCAAGCACGCTCCATAAAATCTGCACCTACAAGATAAAGATAACCGTTGCCCATGACAAATTCTAAAGAATGAGGAGGAAACTTTGAGTGAGTGAACATTCACATTAAACAGCGAATATGAGTCAAACTGCTGAGTCAGGTTCCAGCTCATTACTTGACTGCAAGAAAGTGAACACAAGAAAGTGAAACGGTTAAATCATGGTCAAGGAATGACAGCAGTTCCTTCCACTCAGCTCACTACCTTCAGACTGTTTCCAGTAAGTGATCCCTATGGGGCTGATGCTGTACGGCTGAGAGGCCAGGTTCTTAAAGTGGAGCACCACCCGGTCACCAGCCTGGGCAACGATCACCGGACCTTGAATACCTGCAACAGACAGACACAACTTTCTTAAAATATTAATACATATGGCTTTGTCGTTTAAATCAAATCCAAAGACATACTCTGAAACACAACTTATTATTAAGTTTTATTACTAACACTATAGTGGTCCATCACATCAATCTTTAAATCGCTCTCTTGACATAAAACAACTGAAAATGTGACCTTCTGCTCTACAAAGAAGGCTCTGATCCATCTGTGGCTTTTACTTTGTTTTCAAAAATACTGATTGGATTGTGCTTGGACAGTAATAGAAGGTACTAACCATTAATGGAATGTGATATAGTGACACAAAACTTTAGTAAAATTCGATTGACTGAGAAAATTGAGAATATAAAAAGAGGAGACCTACCTGTCCATGCTGGCCTTGGTTTGGGGACAGTGTATGTGGAGTCTGTATACTCTCTGTACACCGCCTTGATGTATTTTTGAGGAATACTGGATCTCATTCTGAAAAGAAAAAGTTTATCAATCAAGCCAGATCCATTATATTTATCAGTTTTTAAAGCGTCTATGCCAACCCAAGTTGTCGTCAGATTTTTTACACTTGAAAAATATATACAGTAAGTAACAAGCCTAACGACCTTATGGAGAGCACTGTTGCCAATAAACGTGTGGGTTCCCTAGATTAAACAAAGAAGTACTCACTTCTGGTTAGGCCCTGAGTCGGCCTTGTCCAGGTGCATGTAGTCCCAGCCGATTTCCACAGCTGCTACATGATACTCTCTTACAGTCGCGTTGGACTGCTGCGCCTCTCCGACGGAGGGGCGCAGCAGCGGCAGCAGTAGCAGAACAAGTGTCGCTGTCATCGCGGTGTGCGCACCTGTCAGCTCGGTCATGTCCCGCGTCAAAAACTATCCTCTCTGGCGCTCCTCATGCGGGCTGAAATATTTAAGGAGAGCTGAGGTTGGGGGCGTGGGGAGAAAACCGAAGCTGTGTGTGGAGGAGCGTAGTGGTGGGGGAGTGTGTGGGTGAGATTGTGCCAGCTCTGCTATGATAAGACCAGATGAAACTTGACTGTACCGGGACAGACATTTGTTAGGACACACAGGCTGTTGCACAGTGTGATATGATTATATGCTTCCATAAAAAATAAAAGTACTTTTGCTACTTTTAAATGAGCAAACCACTGTCGACTTGACTTTATCATTTACTAATGCTTCATAAACTGTTATAAGCATTCATAACAACATTTGGGTTGGCAGGTAGTGAAAAATCCCCTTTTCTGGGGTTTATCCTGGTCTGCTTACAGGAACATCTAGAGCCAAAATCAACGTACTAACAAACTAATACTATTCATATCACACAGGTGATGGTGTATTTCAACATGAGAAATAAATTAGTATTAGCTGATGGATTGCCAACATTTATTAAAGCATTGTGCCACATCTGATCAGTGCAATATAAATATATAAAATATCCACAATAGCCACATCCACACTAACATAAAAGTAATAATTATTTCTAATCATATATATTGAAATACTGAGTGAATGTGTCAAATGATTACACACAGTTGTAATTCACAGTTCGGATAGCGCAAGGATAAAAGCTAATTATAAGTCTATTAGTCCTGGTTTTCAAGCTCCTGTATCTCCTCCCAGAGGGCAGGAGGGCAAACAGTTCATGTCCAGGGTGTGTATTGTCCTTTAGGATGTTCCTAGCTCTGCTGAGACATCTTGAACTGGCAATATCCTCCAGAGAAGGCAAAGGGCAAAAAAGGCAAATGTTTTAACCCTGAGTTACACGTTATAAACCCTCCTTAAATGGTGCCTTGTTGCACCTGCGATCCAGTAAGCTACTCTCCTATCTATACATGCAAACAAATGTCTACCTGTGAATATATACTGATATAAAATTTGGGATTAAATGAGTGGAATATTTCTGCAAAATAAAACTACTATACACGTATATCTCAGTGTAAAACCACAACACTTCATTGATGATTCAGTTAACTGACTAACAGGGCAGTAGTTAGCAGGTGAACAGCTGTCTAAAAACGACAAAGGTGGTCAAATGAATCAGTACTTTCGAAGTCGCCACAGCTCAAACTCTTTCCAAATGTGGAGAAGTAACCGAAGCTTGATTTCATTCCTGTGTTTTACTGACGCCCTGTGGCGAATAAGTGGTACTGCAGGACTTCTGCATTGGACAGTGTTAAACCTTTGAAAATTAAGAGGGAAACAATAAATGGTTTCAGTATTTTAATGCAAATGTAAAAAGTCTTCTTTATCAACAAGCATAGCAACGTGATTCTCTGATACAATATGAAGACCATTTGTGTATAAAACTAACTTAAATAGTCGATAAAACAGAAGCAAAACTAACAACAGCAATATGTCAATAGATAATTTTAAGTTAAAGAGGCCTGGGGCAGACAGGCTCAAAACAAAGTTTGTTTTTTAATACACAAGATCAAGACAGAACATGACCAAAAAACTGCCAGTAAATATCAAAACAAACAACCAATAAGCGCTTCATAAATATAAAAAGGAGGTGAGGGTGGGGGTGTCATACCTAGTTTTAGAGCTTTGACCACTAAGATTTTAAATCTGTTCTAGATAAAACATTTTATTAGTGGGCATATCAAAGTTATTTCCAACTAGGGTTGCAACGGTATGAGATTTTCACAGTACAATTACTATTATCATTAACTACAACAACCCTAAAAGGAACAAAAACACATTTTTTTACTGCAAGTGACTGTGTGAATTATAAACATGATAAAAAACAACATAGCATGTAACTATAACATGTTATATAATTAAAGCCTGTTACAGTTTACATGTTAGCACCAGTAGTAGAGTATTCACATCCTTTACTTAAGTAAGATTATTAATACCACACCGTAAAAGTACTTTGTTACGAGTAAAAGTCCTGCCTCGAAAATGTTAAGTAAAAGTAAGTATACCATGAAAATGCATTTAAAGTATTAAAAGTAGAGGTACGCGTTGAGCGTGTTTCAGATCAAGATGAGTGTGAGTCCATTGGAAAATCTGATGTTAGAACACAAACAGACAATGTGGAAAATAATGTCAGGACACATACTATGATCTGGACAGAGGGATGGTGTTCTCAGTGGTGTCCGTTCAATTCCTTTTTCTGGGGATGGAGATCGGTGATATGCAGCCTCTTCTCTGCCATTTTTCCACCGCATATGTGCATGTGGTGCCCATTACTGGATCTGACAGGCGGTCAGGGATAAAAGGAGATGTGCACGCATTGTGTTTCTTCAGTGCCAGTAATAAGGGAATGTGCATGGTATGATCACATCATTTTTACACCATGGTATACTGTGAAACAGGTATACCGCTGCAACCCTATTTCCAACTATGTAAAGCTGAGAAAGTGAAGTAAAACTGTTCTTTTGTTTTTTCAGTTGAGAATATCTCATCTCATATACTGCTTAGTCCTGAATGGGGTCACGGGGAGGCTGGAGCCAATCCCAGCCGGCATCGGGCAAAAGACGGGGTACACCCTGGACAGGTCGCCGGTCCATCACAGGGCCAACACGCAGACGAACAACCACACACATACTGTACATTCACTCACACGGGCAATTTAGTCACCAGTCAACCTAAGTTGCATGTCTTTGGACAATGGGAGGAAGCCGGAGTACCCGGAGAGAACCCACGCAAGCACGGGGAGAACATGCAAACTCCGCACAGAAAGGTCGCGAACCTGCAACCTTCTCACTGTGAGGCAAAGACGCTACCCACCGTGCCGCCCAGTTGAGAATATGATCATGTAAAACAGTGCCTCAGATTTTTATCCTATTTTCACAGACTTTTGTATAAACAGAATACTACATCAGCAGTGTATACCAATATCAGTAATGGTGTGCTGCCCTGGTAAAACTGTCACTGGAGGCATTTTGAGGCAATGCAAGTTATTATGACCACCTGCACACTTATATCTGGACATAAAATATATTACAGAGTTTATCCATAATAAAACAATAACGTGAGAAGGACTTTCCAAGGGAGCATTACATGATAGTTATAACCACCTACTGTATATTTGGATTCTACATGGTCTTATCAAACAAAACCTTGTATATGAATGTAGGAAAAATATCAACCTCTGCTAAAAGAGATCTGCTGATCATAGTTTCAGTGAGTTGACCTCTATGATCTGCTGCAGGATGTTGTCTACATCGGTGGTGTCCATACTGATGCCAGCCAGGTCCAGTTGGGGCAGGAGGGCCGTGAGAAGCACCACCACGTTGTTGCGGATGTCACGCAGATTCTCCAGTGCCAGTCTGATTGGAGAACAACATCATTGTTTAAGCTGGAAAACTTAACAGTTTGTGTTTCAGTCACTCAGGTGAAACTCCCGTCTAGGGGAATGATGCGTTTGATTCTCACATTAGAGGTGGTTAGGATAGAAGCTGACACTCATATTAAGATTATCTGGATTGGTTTTGTTTTAAATAGGAACATTTATAATGGGATTTTGGTTCATTTGTCAGGTGAAAGCAATCTCTGCACAGAAATGTAACCCTGACAGGTAAAGGACGTAATTCTAAAAGACCATTCTGTTTGTACACGGAGTCAAACCAGCAGTTTGTTGTGCTTGGCATGCTTAGCTTTATAAAATGCACTGAGGACAAACCACACTCTGGGCTGAGTTTCATCTACCATGTCAGTACAGAGACAGTGAATAAAGGTACAGCCACTGAAGACCCAATTTCTAACCAGTAAAAGTGTCAACTAGCATGATCTAACACAAATGTTCAATGCAATAAAAATTTGTTTAAAAGGATCATTTCATTGTTATAGCTAGTGTCTGTGTATGCAACCGTGTGTGCATGTCTGTTCAGAGTATACACACCTGGGGTCTTCACAGGCTTCGCTGTCACTGACTCTTGTCCTGCTCTGAGTTTCACTCTTCTCCTTCCTGGTTCCGTTTGACTCGCATACAAGTCTCTGACCCTGGGCCAGTCCACTGGAGGAAGTAGAGCTCTGATGCAGAAAAGAGACAGTAGAAGATTACTTAAAAGTTTTCTGTTATTTTTTTATTTAAACAGCAGATCTACATTACCTAGAATAAAGCATTTTTGCTGTGTGGTTGTTTTGGACACACTGAGCCCTGCACAACTTGTAATCAAAACAATCAAACAGTTGAGACTTATTTAAGCAGTAACTGTAAAACAGAAACAAGGGACTTGGCGTTCTGACAGCTTGTTCATCTTTTCTAATTCATTTCCTGTATAGTAACAGGGCACGATACATTTTAGCTGCAGTCATGTTTTATTGCTATATTTTAAAAGATACATTCAGTCTAATTTTCCTTTTAGTGCAATGACATGAGCAGAGGACCAGATGCTATTTCCAGGAACTCCATACTGCAGCAAAAGATTTTTGTTATTAGATGCTATAAAAATGCTGCAAAATATTAATTAGAGGTGTTTCTTGTAGCTTTTTTTTAATCATACTTTATTAATCTCCATTGGGAAATTTCTAACTGATGATGGCACTGCCTGGCCACCAGGGGCCAGCGCTGTATCCAAGAACAGTTCAACATGTGGACTGGGGAGACTGGGAGCCAGCTTGAAAAACCTGGCTCAGCTTTTGTCAGGTAACTTATTTATGGGTATATTTTATGCTCTTGGCAATAAAATAATGCATCAACTAAGAGCCACACCAGACAGAGTCCAAAACATTTTATGAGGAGACGCTGCCTTAATGGAGTAAATGTGATTTAATTTACAATTTCCATTGATTTTTGTAGTTTCTCATCATAATAATGAGCCTTAAACATGAGGTGTAAACTGTGCTGACCTCAGCCATATCCGTCTGGCAGCCGACTGCTCTCTTTGCTGTGTGTGGTGATGGTTCATTTGGCTTGTCAGTGCTGCTGTCAGCTACTGTCATCGTGCCTTGACTTGTCTTTGTGGTTTCCTGACCTAGCAGCCTCCTCAGCCTCTGAACCTCCTTCTGCAGTCCAGCCAGTGTATCCACTTGAGCCTCCTGGTCACTCGCTTTAGGTGGCAGTGGACTGCTGGTTGGCGCTTCTGTTAGATTCAGTGCAGAGACCACCACCGTCTGGGTGAAGGGGAGCGAGCAGGTCCAGGTGGGGCTGGAGGGTGGCTCCTGTGCCGTGTCGCTCGTCTCCTCTGCTTGACTGCTACTGTCTTGTTTGGTTTTCTTCAAAGAAAGGGTCTCAGAGGCATTTGTTTGTTTCTCATGATTCATGTCTTCTGCCATATTCTCTGAGTCGGACTCCTGGAGACACGGCTTCTTTGTCACACAGTAAAATAATTCCGATTTCCTTTTGTGGCTACAGAGAACAAACACTAGTCGGATTATTGAAGACCATAATTGTGTGACAATTAACTTGCAAAGAATAAACATACCACCAAACATATTTTTGTGTGTGATAATGCAGCTGAAGACAAAAACAGCTGACAGTTCTCCATGTTAGTGTCAGGCTTTTGAAGATTATGACTGACCTTACCTCCTTACTTTGCATATGCTTTAACTGTATAACTGACAGTCTGGGAATTAAAACATTCTAATTTAAATGAAAATTAATTTCTAACAATATACCCTACCTTATTGTGTCTGTGCTCTCCTCTTCTCTCTCCACTGGCTCCATGTCTGTCTCATTTTCCACCTGTCCCTCTGTGATTTGTGTCTCGTCTTTACTGACCATGTTTGTTCCGACAGGCTTCAGTGTGTGTGCAAATTCAGCTGTGACCTTGTTCTGCATCTCCTCATCATGATTTGTGTATGTGTCTGTGTGATGATCTGTGTTTGTCTGATGATGTTCATCGAGTGTGTTTTCATCTGAGTGGCATCCTATGTGATCAGGTGTGTGTGTGGACTGGGAGCTGTGGTGGCTGGGCTCTGATGAGCTAACTGAGAGGACGTAAGGTTCCGTCAGTTCGTCCTGGAGTTCACACACAAACAATAATAAATATGCTGTATGTTGACAAGTAGCTGACAGTACAGTGGTACCTTTAAGAGAAAGCTGCCAAAGGTTTCAGCATAAGAAAAGCCCTTCACATACCTCTAGTGATTTTTCTCGTTTTCTGTTTTTGTAACACTCTCTGTAGAAAAATCCAAAGAGATCAAAGAGTTGAGGTGGACAAATAGTTAAAATATGTACAAGTTTAACTTCCAAAAAGTCACATTTCCCATGGATTGCCATGATAAATGCCACTGTTCATGTCTGTAATCATTCTAAGATGCAGTATGAGTAAGGAGGCGTTCGGACTTGTTTCTATGAGGCCACTGCCTTGACATAGAGGAGATGCCGATGTAAACGTGGTATGACTGAGCAAAAAAAGTTGAGCCTGGCTCAAATACTGAAGCATTTTTTTTTCCTGGTGTTTATTAGCTTCCAACCTAACTACAGTATCTAGCTGACTTATCCCAGATAAGTTGAGACTTATCCCAACAGTAGTTCTCTAAGTTAGCTAATCTGATGATACCAATTACTATTAAGACATTTACTTCCAACAATCCACAAGTATTTTTGATAAATGTTAAACAAGTTTTAAATTCCATATTAAAATCTTTGTGTTTATGAATAACACCCCCATGTTCTGAAGAGCTGATCCTCATTTCATTGCTCCTGCGTTGTTCACTGTCAGGCCGAGTGTTGCAAAGCTCGAGGCACATGGACACGCTCAAGAAATAGGAGCGTAAAACTGACAGATGGAAACCACAACATGAAGCGAGAACCCACATGTGAAAACAGGCATGCAGGAAGAATAGCAGTGTGAAACGTCCACTCGTATAGACTTTTACATACACACACACACACACACACACACACACACACACACACACACGCGCGCGCGTGCTGTGTTTTCATTCCTTGTGGGGACTTTACATTAACTTACATTCATTTCCTGTAGACTTATCCTAACCTTAGCCATAGCCACTACTTGCCTAACCCTGACCCCAACACCCAGCCTCATCCTAACCCTAAACCATGTTGCCACCCTTAAATTTAGTGATTTCCTTGTGGGGACTGGCTTTTGGTCCCCACAAGGATGGTCGAGTCCCCACAGTGTGAGTGTGTTAACAGGTTTCGGTCCTCATGAAGTAAATAATACACAGGCACACACACACACACAGTTTGAGCAAAGTAACTAAACAAAAGTAAATTTACTGTTTCTTGTGGTTTTTCTGGTAGCTGGGTGTTAACAGCTCCTCACTCTCTTCTGCTTCCTCTGGTGAAGAGCAGCTTCTGAAAAGTCGATAGATCATGCTTAGCACCTCAACTACTGCTGAACTGTGAGCCTTCCTGTTAGTCAACATACTCACACACCATGAGCTCCTCTGTTAAAGCTCATGCAGATGTCTTATGTGACAGCTTAAAGTAGCAGGTTTTGGATCTTACAATTCTCAGATATAAACATGATCTCTGTTAAGCCTCAACAAAAAGTAGAAATGAGGGAGAGAGATATACAGAAAGGTCCCTGCCCCGACTTAAACTAGGGATGTTCCTCCACATGGTGAGCATCTTAATCTTAACCAACTATTGGAGTGCCCCTTTAATTAGACACCTTATAAATGTTAAGTGTGAAATTAGTTGTGGCTACTTTTTACTGTTATTGTTGTTAATGTGGAGGTACTGTGTTAGGTATTTTTAGTCAGATAGATATTGGATAGATACTTTATGTATTAGAAATGTTTAGTGGAGATAGGATGTCTAGTTAGACTGTTAAATGCTTAGGCCTGCTTATGAGTTTCTACAGGGTACATCTGGTCAAGGATAACTAGAGAGAAGAGTTGATGACTGTCAGCAGACAGGATGTTTAATATTATTATTATGACGTGTATAACTGTAGCCTTAGCCATAATATGTTATGTTCT